TAGGGACAACTATTCTCTTCATTTCTTGATAATCTATATCAATAATATTTTAAGGATTTTTTGCTAAGTAAATATTCATTTGTTGAAAGGATGTTGTTATGCATTGACTTTTCCTATTTTTATTATGGTTACATACCAATTTAATTGGAGAAAAAAGTAAGCAAGAGCAATGAGCATTTGCAGTACTGCCATTTGTTTTTCTATTGATCTGTCAACAAGACAAACAATACTTGTTTTGGCTTTAATTCATTATTAATGTATGGGGCTCTTTTCTATGTATTTAATTAGCAACATGTGGTAAGCAATAATTGAAATAAATTTACTTTTCAACATTACTTTTATGGAAGTTATAGGTTGGAGTCCTTTGGATTCCTTTTCTATAAAGACTCTATATTGTGGATAACTTGTGCTTCTTCACTTCAGTCCTTAAGAATGATATTTAGTATTTGAAATCTCAATGGTATATGAAAGCCACACTTTCCCCCTGGTTTTATTTAGATCTGGTGCAAATGTAATTCAGACTTTTTGCTAACCATAATTTGCAAATTAGCCCCAAATTGACATTTTTCTTCTCATTACCCATTCACACTTTCATATACATTTTCCCATCCCTTTCCTTGACAGTTTTAATAAAGTTCTGCATTACATTTGTCATGAATAGTAACCATCTAGTTGTGGTGTCCTTGATGTTCTTTCAGTTTGGTTGTTTGCCTGCAAATGTTCCACTATCTAACTAGGTAACACCATCAGTGCAACTGGGTGCAGGGTTTGATTCTTGTTTATATACATTGCTTGCCCTGCCAGTTTTGGTAAGGATGTGGTTTTCTACTTGATAATTCCATGATTATTGTTTGATTGTTTCCCTGGTGTTAACCCTTGCTTATCTGGGTGGTGGCTCCTGGAGAAAAGGTATTCTTTTTTCTTCTTCATTTTTTGTCTCTTTTGAGTGGTGAATAAATATGATTTACTACTTTTCTATGTGTCTGTTGATTGCTAAGTTGTTTGAATACCAAACTTCCAAGAATTTCCTTGTGTTTTTGAATTTAGTTTGGTCTAGGATGCTCATAGTTTCCCAGTTGAAATTATGGTTGACTCTATTCCATGTAAGATTATGGGATTGCATCTTCTGATTGCTAGTTGGTACTCATGGATACTCTCTGCTAAACTTCTACCTATCTGCCCTACATAATGACTGTTACAGTCTTTTTATACTCTATGTTGTAGATGACTTTTATCTCATGTAACTGGGTCTTTTTGTTTACTTAAAAAGTTTTGCAAAGCTTTGGTTGTTTTGTGTGCTATAATAATGTTGTGTAGTAACTGTGTTGCTTATTTCTGAATTTTTTTATATATGTGGTAGCATTATCTTTTTCATAGTTTGTGTTGGTTGTGCATTAGTGAGTTGAGTGGTGATGCACATTTCTATAAAGTTATCTATATATATAAAAAGCGAAATACCACACATGCATCATCATTAAATCTCTAGAACCGTAAAGCCTACAAACTTGAAATTTGGCACATATGTTCCTCTTGGCTTCTAGGTGCTCTCTAATGACCATCAGATCATCAGTATTCCTTAACATGCATCAATGCTAAAGAGTTAGACGTTCTATACTCCCCCTTCCCCTTGCTAGACCGGGCATGGACATGGCCAGCATGTGACTTTTCCAGCCTGTGGGCTTTATGTGTCAATTTATCAAGACAATCACATAGTTTCGTAGTGAAACACAGGTATTCAGCTAGTGTGGATATAAAATTGTCTGGAATAGATTATATAGGTGGTCTGTTTTATTTCTTTGGTGCCCTGGATTGCTACAGTGCATTTGTACTTATTTGAGTAATATTTTTACATAGGTTCTCTTGTGGGAGGTTGAGCGGTTACTTTAGTAATGCAACACTTGGTTAGTGGGGTTGGTTTTTGGAAGTAGCATTTCCAATGTGCTACTTATTTTCTCTGCTGATATGGATATGCAAGATGGGTAGTGTATTGTTGTTTTCTTCTTCACTTGTGAATTTTATTCCTT